ACCAGTTTATTACAATATCCAACTTAATAGAAGCTAAAGAAAATACTCATTACCCTGCCTAAAACATGTTTTATAGCCTAAAACATGTTTTATAGCCTAAAACATGTTTTATAGCCTTTCGATCTGCAAATCTTTTCATGACACTTTCTACACGTATCTTCTTTACAATAGCCAAAGAATTTAATCTCTCTTGAGCCATAGACGACCGCAGGTATGTTTTAATAAGCTTTAGTTTTGGAAGAAGATCCCAAACACATGACATGGCGGCATAATGGCGTCTTCGGCCTTGATGGCACCCCGGGCGACTGACTGAGTTGCCTTGTACCTTGAATATGTGTGTGTGTGTGTGTGTGTGTGTGTGTGTGTGTGTGTGTGTGTGTGTGTGTGTGTGTGTGTGAAATGAGAACGAATACAATCCAATTCCGACGTTCGTAACATTCAATTTAAAAGAGGACTCGAAGCAAAAGTAGAACAATATTCTTTATTTTAGGATACTACATCAAAAACATGTAAAAACGCTACACAAATGCAATCATGTTTCGATGTGTATTAGCACATCTTATCAGGCGTTAGTAAATAACTGGTGAATAGACAATTTATTGAGATTTAAAAACAACATTCAGCCTCTTTTCACGAGAAAAAGATGAAAAGAAAAAGAGTAAGAAAGAAAGAGGGGAGATAGAAGCAGGGTTTGTTTTGTTTTTATTCAGATCAACCAATTCGAATAGTCTACACTAGGTTCAAAGAAAAGGGAAAAACGAAAGTTTAGAAGCAATCATATGCAAGAGGTCATGACCCACAGATTTAGAATCGTAGACGACATCCGAACGTCGTATTCGATACGGATGTAAGTTTGCTACAATGTTTTACATTAGACACATGCCATTTCCTATGAGAGAAGAAATGTAATTTTACAAGATATTCGACAAACTACATACCCTGTGACTTAAAAAGTTAAAATTTCACAATTTTATAGTTGGTAAATAATATGGCCCTTTAAGAAATAGATAGAAAGTTTAAACAAATAGATCAAACCAAATTATTAAAACATATAGATCAAACCAAATTATTAAAACATATAGATCTAACAAAATTATTTAAATATATAGTTTAAACAAAATTACTTAAACTTATAAATCTAACAAAATTATTTAAATATATAGATCATACAAAATATGTAACTGTTAAATAAAAGATCTTTATATAGGGTGTGAATAAAACTAATCAATGCACAATGTCAAAATGTCAGCCGAACGCCTATACATCTATACTAAATATTACCACCATTACTAGAAGAATAATGTAAAGATTATACTACGTCGTTTAAAGCCAAAGTAGCAAAAATCTAATAAAACATTAGATTACGGAGTGAAATGTTTTGTAATATATCTCTTTTGTGCTCGTATAGTCATTTATTTAAATTCTTAAATACTTAATCTTTGTGAATTGAATATCAACGTTGTGTCTTTCGTAAATTCCAGCTTCAAGTTTAATGATGCTATTATTTTGTTTTGTATTAATTAAATCTTTTTATGTTTTTGAAATCGTGACTTAATTTATATTAAGTATAGGCAATTAGAGCTTTTTAAAATCCGCTATTATTTTTTATGGCAATAAATCTTCTATTTAGTCGATATATGTGTTTGAATATGCATTTTTTGTTTTTAAAAAGTAGCATTAATGTCTACTGGCCTAGAGATACGCTTCACTTTATTTAGAGTATTGCTTCTCTGAGCTGGAGATATTAATTTTAATGTTTAGAAGGCAACGATGTCTAAACAGAACACGTATAACTATTGAATATAATGTTTATAGTAATAAATTTAGATCATTTTTATATTAAGTTTATATACATCATTCCAATTATTAATCTAAAAATTTATTGAAAATGCACAAATTTCAGAATCTTCTACGGTAGATTTTGTAGGATATTTAAATACTATAAAAGCGATAAAATAAAAGCGACGGAAAACACAATGAATCTTAAACATTTAGATACACCTTATGTCAAAAGTTTAAATTGAAGCTGAGCGGCCCGATATTTCTAATGTTTTCGTTGTAAAGTTGTAGCTGGCGTTTGTTGCATTTCTACCCACACTATATACAGGGTGTCCATAAAGTTCGTGTGCTCTTTTAATATTTATAACTTTAAAGAGCACATGAACTTTATGGACACCCTGTATATAATATGACGCCATTGATAAAAGAATACTTGGTCTGAAGAAGTTCCTGCTGCATACGAAACGCGTTACTTAAGAGATATTTTAAAGTTGACATTCGACTCTCTCTCTCTCTATATATATATATATATATATATATATATATATATATATGAATTGGGATAAATATAGATCAAATTAGATAGGTTTGTCTATCACCCGGTTTTGACCTTCCTTCCCGGTATTTAAACAGGGGTAGAAGTTTATCACTTTTGTTTCCGGTTTAGGATTGGGTTTTTAATTCTTTCTCCTAAATTCTTCTTATTCTCTTTCACACTGAGTAGCCCCATGTGTCTTAGTGGCATTATCGCCTTGCTTGGGGGTGAAATGATTAGGATAATTAAAGGCCATGAAGATGCATTTAAGCATGACTCGGACTGTCGCTAGGTGTAGACCTTCATGTCCACCTTTATATATATATATATATATATATATGTGTGTGTGTGTGTGTGTGTGTGTGTGTGTGTGTGTGTGTGTGTGTGTGTGTGTGTGTTGTGTATTAGGTACCTCCACTTTTTCGGCATAAATTTTCGATACCTAAGGTTTAAAATGAATGTTTAAAAATGAAAAAGGATTCTTGGAGATTTCATTTTAGTTAAAGGATTAAATTTATTATTTCAAGTAAGTAAAATATTCTGGTATCTTTCAGATAGAAATTATATAGACTGGAATTTCAAATAATTGCCATTTTCTTAATTTTTATTGCCTCCTCTATTATACCCAACGCATTTTCCTTACCGTTTTGTCTTTCATTCCAACCTGAAGAATCCAAAAGTTCTAAGTCTAATCGACCATGATGCAATGTCACCAGTTTGCTTTTTATGGAACTGAATATAACCAGTCAGTTTTTCTCCTACTAAGCTGTTAGAACAAGGTCAAAGGATAAATCAGCTGCCAAGTTCTGGTCATTTAAAGTTTTGGAGGTACACCCATATACCGTTGTATCATTAGCATAGATATTTACAAATGATATGATTATACTCTTAGGCAGATAATTTATGTAGAAAGAGGGTTGGACAGAAAAGAGAGCCTTGGCAGATGCCTGTGTTGATCGCATGCGCATCAGAGGATTGGCCGTTAACAGGTATAATCAAGGACCTAACCGTTAGGAAGGACTTTATAACTGAGATGACTCTTCCAGAGATTCCAGAGCTAGAGAGCTTATGCGGTAACAATTTATGTCACACCTTGTCAAAGGCCTTTGAATTATCTAATGCGATCGGCACAGAAAAGGTAAAGGAAAGCTATGTTACGGAAGTAGTTTTACAAATGCTCCTGCCTATATATGGCAGCAGCACTTGTAAAAGGAGGATTCGGGTACTTACTGGAATGGTACAGGGAACTGACCATTTTTCCAGCATCTTTTTCGATGGATCATATGTACGAGTTCCACTTGAGGTCTGGGTTCAGATTAAATTCCAATAGGTGCCCAAGGCATGTGGCCTCCCTGAGCGAACATCTGTTCATCGTGATTGCTGGAAATTTGGGGTCTAATCGACGATAAAGTAATGTCACCAGTTTGCTTTTCGTGGGACTGAATGTGACCAGTCAGTTTTTCTCCTACTAAACTGTTAGAGCAGTTTATAACTGAGAAAGCTCTTCCAGGGATTCCAGAGATAGAGAGCTTGTGTAGTAACCATTTATGCCACACCTTGTCAAAGGCCTTAGAATTATTTAGTGCAATCGTCACAGAAAAGGCACAGGGAAGCTACGTTATGACAAAGGTTTGGTTTGGTTTGTTTTACGGCATATCAACCTCAATAGGTTATTTAATGCCGACAAGGTTTTTATTGCTGGTAATATTTTTTTTCAAAAATGTATTGCTGGTATTGTTTTTAAATGTATAGCTGGTAATTTTTTTTTTCAAAAATGTATTGCTAGTAATAATTTTTCTTCAAAAATTTATTGCTGGTAATAATTTTTTAGAAAATATTTTTGGTATTAAAACCTATTTTTACACTTTCATAGTGCTTTGACCCCAGTTTGGGAGTTAACTATTTGCCCATAGCTGGGATCCTAACATGTGCTACCACCCCGGGTAAGGGTGGACCTTGGAACATCAGCAATTAAGAGGTGGTTCCACGCTTCTCAAAACCTGCTGATCAAAGGCCTTGCTGTTGGACGTAGTTTATCGTCTTACCCAGGACGCAGATGTAGTTTATCGTCATAGCCAGGACAGTTTGTTGTCTGGTAACTTATTGATTCTGTGATAAATGTGAGTTAGTATATCAGCAGTTGATCGGGCCGATTGAAACCCGTACTCTTAGTCGCTCAAAAGGATGTTTCTGTTGGAGTGATCAACAACTTTCTTGTTGACTATAGCTTCAAAAAGTTTGTTAATGACACTGAGGAGACTTATGGGTCTATACCGCGAGGGGGATGAATGCTCATCTGCATTCTTGAAAACAGGGCAGACACTTGACGCCTTCCACTGACTTAGGAAGTATATCTTCTTCGGGTTGCGGTTAAATAATATCGCTAAGATCGATGATAACTCCGGTTAATATTCTTAACTGGGGAAAAAAAAGGCTAATTTACTACCGTTCAAATGTTCAACGACTTTAGCCCCAAACTTCATATAATTTAGAAAACAACAACACAAGGAACGCAGATTGAAAAAATTTCGTTCACATTCAATTTTCAATTTTTAGAAACTAAAGTTTCAGTTTATTTATTTATTTTTTTATCCCGACAAAGGACACCCTTATATGTGCTTCCTGCCCACGCACAGCTATACACTCCATATCTTTCATTTTTTTTGACATTTACACCGGAAAACACATGTCATTTTCGAAGGATCGGGTGATTCTTAATTTGTGGAGAACTGATAAAAACGTGTGCTTTCATCGTCAGGGATACTGTGACTTGTTCTGGAAATTAAATATAAGTTGCCTTGAAAATTTATAAACGAAATTTAGATAGCCGCCCCTGTTGACAAAAAATTGACTCTATTTTTGCTTTTTTGTGATGAACATAACACACACACATACACACACACACACACATATATATATATATAAGTATAATTTTAAGGTATGCTATATTTATGGGTAAAACTGCTCAATATCAGAATACAACGTATGTAAAAATAAAAATGAACATTGAGATTAACACCAAGCGGTGACAGTCTGTTTCGTGCCATGTGTACTGTGTTAGAAATAACCATTAGAATAATACAATAGGCTTTGCTACACATAATGGACCATAACTAGCTCACAGCCAACACACATGGCCTGAAGATTGCGTTCATGCATGAAACTGATTGTCGTCGCTTGAGTTTCATCTTAGTTCTTTTAGGATAAATAAATACCGAAATCAGACGTCCCTATCGAAATATTTCTGGCACTTGAAAGAAACCAATAAAACACCTACTGTGAAATGGAAATTAATAAGAAAAGCTAGAATATGTAGGTCATTAAATGACCCATGTCCCTAGTGCATGCATGAAAAACTATATATTACTAAATTTATAAGATATAAAAATTTACTTAATCAAAGAAATGAAATAGCTATTCTTTGCTGACATTGTCAAAAATTTTCCTTAAATAATGTATAAAAAAAGCTGACAAATGAAATATACATATTTATATTTGATATTTAATAATGATTTTTAAATAATGTAAGTAATTCTATTACATTTATTTGTTTTAAAATAAATATAGTCTATTAATAATTAAAATTAAGAATAATATTTTAAAATTGTACTTCAATACGACGTATTCATATACAAACACCCCTTTAGGAAAAAATATTTTTATGTATACAAGTACAAATTTAAGGGCGAAACAAAAGTGCCGAAAAACCTTTTTGCCGTTGATAAAGACCAGACGACATGCATCGAACGGATGTCATCAGTCGTTAGAAAAGGCACCCCTACCGTACCTTGACTTAACCTCTTTTCGAAAGTAACTCATATTTTGATACAATAGTTGTCAGTGAAAATGAATACCCTACCGCCACTTGTTGAAATGATTGGATTTCCCCGTATCCTTAGAAACTAATGTTATGAATGTATGTGTTTATAAAAACTCAGTTATTCCAAAATTCGCTTGAAAATGAAACAGGATTAGGGACTTTAATTTAATTCTCTAATTGACTTTTAAGTTTTTAGTTTTTGTTTTTAAAACATGGTAATTCCTGTGTAACCATAATTTTAAATTAGTACATTTATAATATATATATATATATATATATATATATATATATATATATATATATATATATATATATATATATATATATGTGAGCTTGTGACCGATTACAACGATATTTTACAACAATTTAGATATTCTCAACCATTCCTCGATGTTCCCTTAAGTGACTTCTGAGCCCTACGAAAGATCTGCATTTTAACCTGCTTGTGAGTTTACTGCTAAACGCATGCTTGTTTGGATATTGAAATGACGAAATAAATAATAATGTTTAATAAGATTTCTCGAACATTCAGGCCAATAAACGAAAATAAATAAATATACTGTTTATTAAATAAACGAGGCATCTCCTCAAATATTAGTATCGACTAAAATAACGTTTAAAGGCATAAAAAAATCTGTCGGATTAATTAAAAAAATTCATTATTTTCTATAAAATTCTCTTTGTTTACGTTTGGATACGAAACTGTACAGATATGAAAATTTAGGGAGATCGCTGATGAGAGATGTTTTCTTTTAAAGGTACAGTTCGACCTTGCCTGATTAGTTGGTTCTTTGTCGGTCAGAGCGTATCGCATTTAACGATAGCTTTCTATGCTCAGAAAGACGCAGGTTCAAATCCTGCTAGAGCGCGTATATTTTTCTTTAATAAAATTTCTCGAACACTCAGACCGGTAAATATACCGTTTAAAAAAGAAACAGAAAGTCTACTCAAATAACGTTTAGTGTTTTTTAATTTTTATATATATATATATATATATATATATATATATTTATCAGACCTGAAGATTGCATGAAACTCCGAGTCGTGTTGTCAACGTTGGATATTATGTATATACTTATAGCTCTGTTTCATAACATTGAGCACTGTATTTATAACACCTTAGAAATAAAGAGAGCGGAAGAAGATGAAAAGAAAATACGAATGAGTAAATGCGGAGGGTAATTAAGGATGTTAGAGAAAAAGGAAAAGAAAAGCAGATGAAAGGAGACAGGTAAGTGATGCTGAAGAAATTATGACATTGTGTTACGATAGATGACACTGTGTTGAGAGCAGATTCAAAAGGAAAACTAAGTGAATTATTAGACAAAATCATACTTATTATAAAACCCAGTGTGTGTATGTGTGTGTGTGTGTGTACGTTTATATATTGGATCGGATTTCCTACATTTTTCAACCGATTTCAACAAAACTTCACAGGACTACGTAAAATTACCTTGCGGTGGTTCTGACAGCGCCAAAAATTGGAAAAACACAATTGTTTTTGCACGAAATCAATTTGAAAACACGATTAACAGTCATCGCGAGAATGAAAGGGGGACAACTCATATCGAGTTATACTTATTATAAAACCCAGGTTGTTTGTGTGTGTGTGTGTTCATTTATATATGGGATCAGATTTCCTACATTTTTCAACCGATTTCAACAAAACTTCACTTTTTTTTTTGGCAGGTAGTGTTTCTTATTGTCTTGCACACTTTTTTCTTTATTTTTACATTCAGAATGCTTTAAAAATTCCATTTACAAGACAATTGTTTATAATAAAATTCTATTCAATCGGTAGACTCATAACGATTGAAAACAATGTTTTGTTTGAGTTTGGGTTTGACCAATTCGTAAAAAAAACGAAAACAAAAAAAACTAATTAAGACATGCGTGTCCGTCAACCTTAAACAATAATCTTTGTCAATTTTATTTTTCAGTCTTTATGATAGTCGATACTTGATCTATCTCTTACTGTTACATCCCCGGGCAACGCCTGGTTCTACTGCTAGTAATTGATAAAAGCAAGAATAATCATTAATTATAAAAAAAAGTTAGAACGTATTTTTGTCAGCAAAAGGGACAGTCCATGTGCGAGTTACATGCCGGGGACGTCAAAATCAAGCAAATGCCGAAATTTCATTCAAATGGCGAAATGTAACTTTCTGGAAGTATAATATCCTAGGCGTAGTATCTGTAAATCCATTCGCAGTCAGTATTAAGCCGATATAATTTTTTAAAAAGTTCTCTATTTTTATTTTATGATGATTTCCTTAAATCGCACTAACACACACACACACACACACATACACACACACACACACGCCGGCGCGCGCGAACATATAAAGCCGTTCTGTCAGAAAGCTTCCCAACTTTCCCTCTATTCAAACAGACTTAACTATCGTCTTTTATTTGCTTATTTGTCATGTGTCATCATAAACATACTTGTAGCTGTCTGTTTTTCATATAAGGCTAGATCTCCAGCCAAACAAAAAACTAAGAAATATTCTGTTAATACAAACTTCCTATTTTATATCAATTTTATCTTAAAAATCATTATAAATTACATTATATCAGATTTTATTAGGTAAGTCAATGATTTGGTATAAACCAACCAATCTTGGTAAAAGTTTCAGGATATGCTTATATTTAGATGTTAAATATACAAATTGAATTAAACATAAAAATTAAATCAATTGCTAGGTGTGCTGGTAGGAGAGTTGGTTCACTGTGTCGTACTAGACAGTTTTTTCTCTCCAAAATCTATCTTACACATTTATAAGTCTACAACACGTCCATGCATTGAATATTGCTTTCACATTTAGTCTGGTATTTCTGCTATGTATTTAAATGTTATCTGCCTTGACCTGGTATCTCGACTTTGCTCACTTTCCAACCGCCTTAACTTAGCTTCTTTGCGCCTTTTCTATAAATATTTTCAGTATAATTGTTCTGGTCAGCTTTTCTCTTTGGTACCTAGACGTTACGAATTTAAGTGCAGTACTAGAGTGGCAGTTAGGTCTCATTACTTTACAGTTGAAATATCTATATGTAAGCGTAAGTTCTATGCTAACAGTTTCTTTTATTGCACTTCTCGCTTATGGAACTGTCTTCCGGTCTTTTGCTTTTCTGTTAATCCTGATCTTACAAAAATTTAAATGCAATGTCAAATATTATCATCTGTTTTCTTAATTCCTGTTCTATTATTGATTCATCTTAATAATGTTTTACTTTTTCTTATATTCTTTCACACTCAGTAACCCCTTACATCTTAGTGGCTTTCTTTGGAATGAAATAATGAAAAAAATCTTTAATTTCTGATTATGATATCTGTTTTTATTAGAAATGTATTAAATATGTGCAATAACTTATCTGCTGTTGTGATGTTTTATTATACAATTCGTGGATTGTTCATCATATTGTAAATAATATATATATATATATATATATATATATATATATATATATATATATAATATAGTTACTGATATCTTTTAATTTCAAATACATAAAACGTGCTATGGCTTGTAAGAAAGATAAAACCTCAAAAAAGAGATAATGTTCTTTAAAGTTAATAAGATGTCGACTTAATAGTTGAACAGAGATCAGGAACAATTAAAAATGAAACAGAAAACATTGGCAAAATACGAGATGAAATCTAGCTTTAAAGAAACCACGAAAAGAAGTTTATGAAAAGTTGAAGGGATAATAACAAAGAAAATTAGACTGACCAGCAAGAAAATATTTGAAGAAGCTATAAACAGCGAAAAAAGATGCAGAATATTAAGAACATTTGCTGAATGCATGAAAGCAAGTAAACGACTATATTTACTTAAAATATCACAAAGAGAAACGTATATCTTAGGCAAAGAAATAAATGAAGACTGATTTCTCAATAATAATTTTAATGATGAATGTAGAGTTACATTGGAT